AGAGAAGAAAAGACACTAGTTTGTTTCCTTGAGAAAATGAATGAATGAAAGAAAGTAGGTAGAATTATTTAACGTCTCCTGACAATACCTAATAAATAATGGGCTATTCCGTTTTGATCACGTGGTTAGGGAAGAAAAGACACTAGTTTGTTTCCTTGAGAAAATGAATGAATGAAAGAAAGTAGGTAGAATCATTTAACGTCTCCTGACAATACCTAATAAATAATGGGCTATTCCGTTTTGATCACGTGGTTAGAGAAGAAAAGACAATAGTTTGTTTCCTTGAGAAAATGAATGAATGAAAGAAAGTAGGTAGAATTATTTAACGTCTCCTGACAATACCTAATAAATAATGGGCTATTCCGTTTTGATCACGTGGTTAGAGAAAAAAAAAGACACTAGTTTGTTTCCTTGAGAAAATGAATGAATGAAAGAAAGTAGGTAGAATTATTTAACGTCTCCTGACAATACCTAATAAATAATGGGCTATTCCGTTTTGATCACGTGGTTAGAAATGAAGAAAAGACACTAGTTTGTTTCCTTGAGAAAATGAATGAATGAAAAATGAAAGTAGGTAGAATTATTTAACGTCTCCTGACAATACCTAATAAATAATGGGCTATTCCGTTTTGATCACGTGGTTAGAGAAGAAAAGACACTAGTTTGTTTCCTTGAGAAAATGAATGAATGAAAGAAAGTAGGTAGAATTATTTAACGTCTCCTGACAATACCTAATAAATAATGGGCTATTCCGTTTTGATCACGTGGTTAGAGAAGAAAAGACACTAGTTTGTTTCCTTGAGAAAATGAATGAATGAAAGAAAGTAGGTAGAATTATTTAACGTCTCCTGACAATACCTAATAAATAATGGGCTATTCCGTTTTGATCACGTGGTTAGAGAAGAAAAGACACTAGTTTGTTTCCTTGAGAAAATGAATGAATGAAAGAAAGTAGGTAGAATTATTTAACGTCTCCTGACAATACCTAATAAATAATGGGCTATTCCGTTTTGATCACGTGGTTAGAGAAGAAAAGACACTAGTTTGTTTCCTTGAGAAAATGAATGAATGAAAGAAAGTAGGTAGAATTATTTAACGTCTCCTGACAATACCTAATAAATAATGGGCTATTCCGTTTTGATCACGTGGTTAGAGGAAGAAAAGACACTAGTTTGTTTCACGGTTGAGAAAATGAATGAATGAAAATGAAAGTAGGTAGAATTATTTAACGTCTCCTGACAATACCTAATAAATAATGGGCTATTCCGTTTTGATCACGTGGTTAGAGAAGAAAAGACACTAGTTAGTTTCCTTTGAGAAAATGAATGAATGAAAGAAAGTAGGTAGAATTATTTAACGTCTCCTGACAATACCTAATAAATAATGGGCTATTCCGTTTTGATCACGTGGTTAGAGAAGAAAACGCCACTAGTTTGTTTCCTTGAGAAAATGAATGAATGAAAGAAAGTAGGTAGAATTATTTAACGTCTCCTGACAATACCTAATAAATAATGGGCTATTCCGTTTTGATCACGTGGTTAGAGAAGAAAAGACACTAGTTAGTTTCCTTGAGAAAATGAATGAATGAAAGAAAGTAGGTAGAATTATTTAACGTCTCCTGACAATACCTAATAAATAATGGGCTATTCCGTTTTGATCACGTGGTTAGAGAAGAAAAGACACTAGTTTGTTTCCTTGAAAATGAATGAATGAAAGAAAGTAGGTAGAATTATTTAACGTCTCCTGACAATACCTAATAAATAATGGGCTATTCCGTTTTGATCACGTGGTTAGAGAAAAAAGACACTAGTTAGTTTCCTTGAGAAAATGAATGAATGAAAGAAAGTAGGTAGAATTATTTAACGTCTCCTGACAATACCTAATAAATAATGGGCTATTCCGTTTTGATCACGTGGTTAGAGAAGAAAAAGACACTAGTTAGTTTCCTTGAGAAAATGAATGAATGAAAGAAAGTAGGTAGAATTATTTAACGTCTCCCTGACAATACCTAATAAATAATGGGCTATTCCGTTTTGATCACGTGGTTAGAGAAGAAAAGACACTAGTTTGTTTCCTTGAGAAAATGAATGAATGAAAGAAAGTAGGTAGAATTATTTAACGTCTCCTGACAATACCTAATAAATAAATAATGGGCTATTCCGTTTTGATCACGTGGTTAGAGAAGAAAAGACACTAGTTTGTTTCCTTTAGAGAAAATGAATGTTTGTTTGAAAGAAAGTAGGTAGAATTATTTAACGTCTCCTGACAATACCTAATAAATAATGGGCTATTCCGTTTTGATCACGTGGTTAGAGAAGAAAAGACACTAGTTTGTTTCCTTGAGAAAATGAATGAATGAAAGAAAGTAGGTAGAATTATTTAACGTCTCCTGACAATACCTAATAAATAATGGGCTATTCCGTTTTGATCACGTGGTTAGAGAAGAAAAAGACACTAGTTAGTTTCCTTGAGAAAATGAATGAATGAAAAAAGAAAGTAGGTAGAATTATTTAACGTCTCCTGACAATACCTAATAAATAATAGGCTATTCCGTTTTGATCACGTGGTTAGAAGAAAAAAGACACTAGTTTGTTTCCTTGAGAAAATGAATGAATGAAAGAAAGTAGGTAGAATTATTTAACGTCTCCTGACAATACCTAATAAATAATGGGCTATTCCGTTTTGATCACGTGGTTAGAGAAAAAAGACACTAGTTTGTTTCTTTGAAAAAATGAATGAATGAAAGAAAATAGGTAGAATTATTTAACGTCCCCTGACAATACCTAATAAATAATGGGCTATTCGTTTGATCCGTGGTTAGAAATGAATGAAAGAAGAAAAGACACTAGTTAGGGGTTTCCTTGGAGAAAATGAATGAATGAAAGAAAGTAGGTAGAATTATTTAACGTCTCCTGACAATACCTAATAAATAATGGGCTATTCCGTTTTGACAATGGTTAGAGAAGAAAAGACACTAGTTAGTTTCCTTGAAAAATGAATGAATGGAAAGTAGGTAGAATTATTCCGTTTTGACAATGGTTAATAAATAAAAACACTATTCTATCACGGTTTAGAGAAGAAAAGACACTAGTTTGTTTCCTTTGAGAAAATGAATGAATGAAAGAAAGTAGGTAGAATTATTTAACGTCTCCTGACAATACCTAATAAATAATGGGCTATTCCGTTTTGATCACGTGGTTAGAGAAGAAAAGACACTAGTTTGTTTCCTTGAGAAAATGAATGAATGAAAGAAAGTAGGTAGAATTATTTAACGTCTCCTGACAATACCTAATAAATAATGGGCTATTCCGTTTTGATCACGTGGTTAGAGAAGAAAAGACACTAGTTTGTTTCCTTGAAAATGAATGAATGAAAGAAAGTAGGTAGAATTATTTAACGTCTCCTGACAATACCTAATAAATAATGGGCTATTCCGTTTTGATCACGTGGTTAGAGAAGAAAAGACACTAGTTTGTTCCTTGAGAAAATGAATGAATGAAAAGAAAGTAGGTAGAATTATTTAACGTCTCCTGACAATACCTAATAAATAATGGGCTATTCCGTTTTGATCACGTGGTTAGAGAAGAAAAACACTGACAGAAAATGAATGAATGAAAGAAAGTAGGTAGAATCATTTAACGTCTCCTGACAATACCTAATAAATAATGGGCTATTCCGTTTTGATCCGTGGTTAGAGAAGAAAAGACACTAGTTTGTTTCCTTGAAAAAATGAATGAAAGAAAGAAACTAGGTCCGTTTAACGTCTCCTGACAATACCTAATAAATAATGGGCTATTCCGTTTTGATCACGTGGTTAGAGAAGAAAAGACACTAGTTTGTTTCTTTGAGAAATTGAATGAATGAAAGAAAGTAGGTAGAATTATTTAACGTCATCTGTCAACACCTAATAAATAATGGGCTATTCCGTTTCGATCACGTGGTTAGAGAAGAAAAGACTCTAGTTTGTTTCCTTGAGAAAATGAATGAATGAAAGAAAGAAAGAAAGAAAGAAAGAAAGAAAGATAGTAGGTAGAATTATTTAACATTTCCTGCCAATACCTAATAAATAATAGGCTATTCCGTTTTGATCACGTGGTTAGAGAAGAAAAGAAAACACTGGTTGGTTTCCATGAGAAATGAATGTATGAATGAATGAAAGAAAGAAAGAAAGAATGAATGAAAGAAAGAAAGAATGAATGAATGAATGAAAGAAGGTAGAATTATTTAACGTCTCCTGTCAATACCTAATAAATAATAGGCTATTTCGTTTTGATCACGTGGTTAGAGAAGAAAAGACACTAGTTTGTTTCCTTGAGAAAATGAATGAATGAAAGAAAGAAAGAAAAAAAAAGAAAGATAGAAAGAAAGACCGAAAGAATGAAGGAATTATTTAACGTATCCTGTCAATACCTAATAAATTATGGACCATTCCGCTTTGATTGCGTGGAAACAGAAGAAATGAAACTACTTGGTTTCACTGAGAAAATAAATCAAAGAAAGAAAGATGGGAAGATAGAATTATTTAACGCTTCCTTCCAATGCTTCGTAAATAATGGAATATTCGGTTTTGGTAGCGTGGTAAAACAAAGAACATATTGGAGAAGCTATTTGGTTTCAGTGAAACAAATAAATAAATAAATAAATAAATAAATAAAGAAAGAAAGATATATCGTTAAAACGGTTGTGTTAATTAAATGGAAAAAGTTTTGAATTTCAAATCTTTTCATTTTTACGCACTTCTTAAAATAACGATCCGCATTCATGTTTATTGTTATTATTGCAATATTTTGTTAAATTTATCTAGTTCAAATATTTAATGTGATTGAGAAATTTATGTGGATACTTTATTCTCAAAGAACTCGCCATGAGCTTATCCAATTATCAACTTAAGAATTAAGAGCTAAGATTCACCAGAAAATTCAAATAGGAAAACAGAAATCGTCACTGAACTTTCTAGTAAATACTAATTTACAGGTCAGAAGAAACAGCCAAAGGTCACAATGTCTTTAGCGGATGTTCAAGAACGCTCGTTTCTTGATTAGCGTCTTCAGGAGCCAAAACACATCTTCGAATAAATAGCATAAAAGGTTACAAAATGCCAAGATGTTCGATTTATTTACAAAGAGGAATGCTAGCCAACTTGATAGAATTAGTTAGCCGGTAGTAGCAGTCTGCTATTCATTGGCATAGAATTTTGATTTCAAACAATATTGGTTCAGTCGATGTAGTAACTCGCCGAAGTAAGCTTAACGACTGGTAGTAGCATTTGGAGCATTCAACCCAACAGTTTCCATGAATGAGCTATAATTCATTCACAAATATTGATTTTTTTCGGTTTTGTCTGCAAACCAAAGACACTCTGACCGAAAATAATATCAATACGTCGAAACAATTCAATGATCTAGCTCAGTGGTAATAAACTTAGACTAGAGGACTAGTGGCGTCATTTATTGAACCCAGCACACACCTACATGTTACTGTACGTGTGAGAAGTAAAACTGTGTTAGGGTAGGGACTACATACCCGGAGTGTGCAGTGCGATTTTCGTTCAAGTGTTAACAATGCAGAAGCAGCTAAAACGAGTTCTCTCAAGAGAGATTTCTTTGTCCTTGATCTTATTTTGGCATTGAGTGTTCAACAGTTGAGTTGTGTAAGACAATTCGTAGCTATAGAGGAAGGGAGAGAAAAAGAAACAATTATCTTCATGGAGCGGCTGACGAGATAATAAGCTAACATGACGTCACACAAAAACATCCAGGTTTCAATTAATAAAAGTAGTAAAATTAACTGAAGAGAAAGAAAAAAACTGTTCTATCTATCTATCTATCTATCTATCTATCTATCTATCTATCTATCTATCTATCTATCTATCTATCTATCTATCTATCTGTTTACTTTCTGTCTTTCTTTATCTATCTATCTATCTATCTATCTATCTATCTATCTATCTATCCCTTTCGTTATCTCTTCATCTCTCTCTCTTTTATTTAACTCTATCGCTCTCTCTTTATCTATCTATCTATCTATCTATCTATCTATCTATCTATCTATCTATCCCTTTCGTTATCTCTTCATCTCTCTCTCTTTATTTAACTCTATCGCTCTCTCTTTATCTATCTATCTATCTATCTATCTATCTATCTATCTATCTATCTATCTATCTATCCCTTTTCGTTATCTCTTCATCTCTCTCTCTTTATTTAACTCTATCGCTCTCTTTATCTATCTTTTCATCTATCTATCTATCTATCTATCTATCTATCTATCCCTTTCGTTATCTCTTCATCTCTCTCTCTCTTTATTTAACTCTATCGCTCTCTCTTTATCTATCTATCTATCTATCTATCTATCTATCTCTTTAGTTATCTCTTCATCTCTCTCTCTTTATTTAACTCTATCGCTCTCTCTTTATCTATCTATCTATCATCTATCTATCTATCTATCTATCTATCTATCTATCTATCTTTTTCTTTCTTTATCTATTTATCCCTTTCTTTACTTTTTGTCTTTCTTAATCTATCTATCTATCTATCTATCTATCTATCTATCTATCTATCTATCTATCTATCTATCTATCCCTTTCGTTATCTCTTCATCTCTCTCTCTTTATTTAACTCTATCGCTCTTTCCATATCTATCTATCTATCTATCTATCTATCTATCTATCTATCTATCTATCTATCTATCTATCTCAGCATGCTCATTATCTATCTACCTAAGCCTGTTCATATCTATCTATCTATCTATCTATCTATCTATCTATCTATCTATCTATCTATCTTTTCTCTCCACCTACTTACTTTCTTTCTTTCTTTCTTTCTTTGCTTTTCTTCCATTGATATCTAATCAGAATCAGTCTAATGTTCTTACGTGATTCACACCCGTAGATTCAAGCAAAGCCTGGTGTAAAGACAACAACAGCATTGACACGTAGGAATGGAGATATACTTTATACATTTATTTCGTGCCTTTTGTAAGACGAGAGACCGCCATACTTGCCAAGTAGCCATCCTACCAGCGTTGAATCTACAGCATCGCAAATATGCTCACATACAAGAATGGCCAGAACATCAGAATGTTTTTAGAAGAAATTTTTTGGTCGTGTATGCAAATATATAGTTTTGTCTATAAAATAAACCTTGATTATTACTTATAATTATGTATATGTATCACAGTTATTTATATCTTACTTATTATAAAACGCAGATTGTGTGTGTGTGTGTGTGTGTGTGTCTGTACGTTTACATATTGGATCGGATTTCCTACATTTTTCAACCGATTTCAACAAAACTTCACAGGACTACGTAAAATTACCTTGCGGTGGTTCTAACAGCGCCAAAAATTGGAAAAAACACAATTGTTTTTTTACAAAATCAATTTGAAAACACGATTAATCGCGAGAATGAAAGGGGGACAACTCATATCGAGTTATACTTATTATAAAACCCAGGTTGTTTGTGTGTGTGTGTTCCTTTATATATGGGATCGGATTTCCTACATTTTTCAATCGATTTCAACAAAACTTCACTTTTTTTTTTGGCAGGTAGTGTTTCTTATTGTCTTGCCCACTTTTTTCTTTATTTTTACATTCAGAATGCTTTAAAAATTCCATTTACAAGACAATTATTTATAATAAAATTCTATTCAGTCGATAGACTCATAACGATTGAAAACAATGTTTTTGTTTGAGTTTGGGTTTGACCAATTCGTAAAAAAAACAAACAAAAAAAACTAATTAAGACATGCGTGTCCATCAACCTTAAACAATAATCTTTGTCAATTTTATTTTTCAGTCTTTATGATGGTCGATACTTGATCTATCTCTTACTGTTACATCCCCGGGCAATGCCGGGCTCTACTGCTAGTATATATATATATATATATATATATATATATATATATATATATATATGACATAAATAGATTAAAATAGATTTGTTCATCCAGCTGTTGAATATCACTACATTGATTTCCATCAGATGAACAAATTAAATTAATGTACAATTGTTTGTTAGTTTAACGGCAAATCGACATCTTATGGGTCATTTAATATCGAAATTGAATTTTCTTCAGATCTTTGGTAATTTTTTTTTTTTTACTATTAGAATCTATTGTTGGAATTTTTTTCTGTTAAAATATATTACTGGTATTTTTACTATAAAAAATGTATTTGTTATACATTCATAGAGATTTAAACTCAGTTTGAGTGTGGAGGGGGGTTTATTGTTTGCCCATAGCTGGGGCCATAACAGGTACTACCCCCCCCAACCCGGGTCAGAGTGGACCTGGTAACAGCAGCAATTAAGAGGTGGTTCCATGCCTCTCAAAAAAACTCGATGCCGGATGTAGTTTATCGTCATACCGAGGACGGAATGTACTCCTTCTCTTCCTCCTTCTCCTCCTCCTACTACTACTATTAAATGTCTATCTCTTGAAATTGAGCATTACAATTACAGGTTCCGTACGATCATCGAAGTTAAGCAACGTCGAGTCTGGTCAGTACCTAGATGGGTGACTGTTTAAGGATACCAGATGCTGGGAGTGTGGATGTGCGGCTGGTGTAATGGATACTGACTCGGGATTGTTAATCGGAGAGCCGAGTTCCAATTCCAGTTGGGTTCGTTATATTCACCTACTCGCAAGTATGAATCCACCTCTTCTCCCCCAGGTATGGGTTAATTAGTAAGATTCGTATCACTAAAATCATTATTATCTCCATAAAAATAAAATAAAATTGCGTACTTAGATTTCGGCATTAAATAACCCATAGAGGTGTTGATATGCCGCTAACCAAAAACAATCAAACAACTATAATGAAAAATATTGGAAACAAAGAAAAGAATAATGAACTGTTACGTAATATCAGATTTCCTGTATGGCAGCGGATGCTGGACATCTTGTCACGGACGAAGAAGAGACTTGAGGCAACATAAATGAGATTCTACAGTAGGATGCTGGGAATACCATGGAATGAACACGTGAGCAGGGACGAAGTTTTAGAGAAAATGGAAACAGAAATAGAAACTGAAATTTCTAGGGCACATAATGAGGAAAGAGGGCTTGGAAAATTTGACACGCGCAGGACTGATAGATGGTAAGAGGGGCAGAGGAAACAGCACATAAACTGCCTAACGAGCTTGTGCAGAAGGTTGGCAGAACAGGGATTAGGAGAGATAGAAAAAACAGAAAATTTAATAAAGGATACAAAAGAGAGGAAGTTGTGGAGAGCCATGATCACACAATCCCTGAAGGGACACGGCACATAAAGGGATAGAAGAACTTTGCCTTCAAAACATTATTTTTCAGAATTATCTTTCCTTGGTCGACCGATTTTTAGCGAAATACTATCTGTATATATATATATATATATATATATATATATATATATATATATATATATTTGGTTGGATTGATGTGAGTTTGTGACCCTGGGTTTCACGCTTTTGCGATCGTCAGACAAACTGATTAATTTTTAAAAATTTTGGGTTTATGTAGATTGCGTGTATTGGTGTTATTATTGAAGTGGGCGCTTTTGCGATCGTCAGACAAACTGATTAATTTTTAAAATTTTGGGTTTATGTAGATTGCGTGTATTGGTGTTATTATTGAAGTGGGCGCATATAATATATAAATAATTATATATATATATATATATATATTTATTTATATTTATACACACACACACACACACACATATATATATATATATATATATATATATATATATATATATATAAAAGTGAATATAGAAGTCAACACTTAGTGGCTACAGTCTGTTTTATGCTAGATGCAATCGCCAGGCTATCGCCTCTAAGTGTTGAATTCAGTGTTCACTTTTATATTTACACACGCTCTATCACTGATATTGAGGACTTTATCCCCTATAACACATCTTAAGACTATATTTCTTCATTCATATATATATATATATATATATATATATATATGTGTGTGTGTGTGTGTGTGTGTGTGTGTGTGTGTGTGTGTGTGTGTGTGTGTGTGTGTGTGAAGAAATATGATCTTAAGATGTGCTATATTTATGCTCAATGGCAGGGATAGAGCGTATGTAAATATGTTCTCTCTCTCGCTTTCCTTCTCTCTCTCTATCTATCTATCTATATATATATCGAAAGAGAGAGAGAGAGATAGAGAGATATATAGATGAGTATATCTATAATTCCGTAGCGTTATAAGTAATTATGAGTTGAATTTTGAATTTTAACATTCACTGTATAATGTTCTATCGATGTGATTCAATGTATTGAGAAAAATATATTGAAAAATAAAGATTTATTGCGCAAAAATGATTTTTTTCATCATCATGCTATGCGCTATCTATCTATCTATCTATCTATCTATCTATCTATCTATCTATCTATCTATACTCAGTGTTCTGATCTATCTATCTATCTATCTATCTATCTATCTATCTATCTATCTATCTGTGTGTGTGTCGATGACTCACATTCTTCCTCTCTGTATATATATATATATTTATATTTATATACATATATATATATATATATATATATATATATATATATATATAATTTATATACGTATATATATATATATATAGATATATCAATTTATATACGTATGTATGTATGTATGTATATATATATATATATATGTATGTTTTATATATATATATATGTATGTTTTATATATATATATATATATACCACGCTGTTTAATTTGGACTAATTAACCTAATATAGACATAAATGTGGCAGATTTTAGAAACTTTATCCTGTACGAAATCAGATTCATTTTAAAAAATGAATGAAACTACAAATCATATTCGTACTCCTAGAATCAGAGACTTTTCTTTCGACTCTTACACGGGCACCTTTTTGAAACAAAGAGATAACAAAAAATCTACACTGCATAAAAAAACATCTGTTTTTTTTTCTGATAATTGGGATGAAAACAATTATCTTCTTGAAAATCTTTGAACAACTAGCCTCTGACAAATCACAATTTGGTAGAAAATATCAAACCTCCCAGTTGTCAAACCATTGTTCTAACCACTGAAAAATGCTTGCAAGTTTGCTTTTGCGTGGGCGTGATTCCGTGGGCGAGTGTGAATTGATTTTTATGAATGGATGTACGCGCTATCAGAAGGCACCAACCAAGAGGGACAAGCAATCCTACAACTGCTGTTACTACAGTTTCTACGTCATTCATAAAATTAATGATCGATAACATGTGGCGGGTGGAGGAAGAGGAATATCTGGGAAGGAGGGAAGGCATGGCCGACTGCGCATATGCATTACGCGTCAGATTCACTTGTTTTTCTGCTTTAATATTTGATGAGTTAATGTTTATCTCTCCCCCCATCTATCTATCTATCTATCTATCTATCTATCTATCTATCTATCTATCTATCTATCTATCCCATCTATTTCTATCCCAGTCTGTTTATCTATCTATCTATCTATCTATCTATCTATCTATCTATCTATCTATCTATCTAGTTTTCCCTTCTATCTATCTATCTATCTATCTATCTATCTATCTATCTATCTATCTATCTATCTAGTTTTCCCTTCTATCTATCTATCTATCTATCTATCTATCTATCTATCTATCTATCTATCTATTTTTTCATTTCTATGTCTGCCTGTATGTATGTCTTCCTTTTTCTTATCTATCTATCCCAGTCTGTTCCTATCTATCTATCTATCTATCTATCTATCTATCTATCTATCTATCTATCTATCCCAGTCTGTTCCTATCTATCTATCTATCTATCTATCTATCTATCTATCTATCTATCTATCTATCTATCTATCCCAGTCTGTTCCTATCTATCTATCTATCTATCTATCTATCTATCTATCTATCTATCTATCCCAGTCTGTTCCTATC